GCGGCGCCTTTGCCGCGGCAGCCCTAGGGCCGGTGCCGAGGCGGAGCTCCGTGCAGCTCGGGGCCTGTGCCGGCCTCCCGGCCGTGTGAATATGGCGTGAGCTTCTTCGCGGGCATCTCTGCTCGCGTATAGAGGTCTCCCAGATGTCTGCGCTTTAAAGGCGCTTGGGTGCTGGGAAAGCAGAACTTGCGCTGTTTTTCTGCACTGCACATAGGGAGTAATAGTTGAAGGTTCTCATGCACACTCACAACCAATCCATTCTGATATAGATTGCAGTGGAGGGACCATCTCTGCAAAGGATGGGATTTTTCCCTTGCTTTCAGGATTAGCTGCTAGCTAGGGCCTACAAAGCATCAAGCCTTCTTGAAAGAGCAAGGAGCAAAGTGAAACACGAGGGGAACAGGCAGCTGGGGAACAAGCACTGGAAAAGGGAAAAGGCCACAAGGGGTGAGAGCTCACACGGATGAAGGTGCCAGAGCAGTCATAGAGCTGTGCCCTCCACTCAGGAGGTGCCCATGCAAACAGAGGATGCCGCTCGGGGACAAGAATGGCCTGGGGACATATGCAGGTCCCTCGTGAGTCCCCAAAAAATGGATCAAAGCTTGCGTAAACAGAGCATAAATATACCTGGGGGTCACCTCTTAACGCCGAGGCTCTTAACGCCGAGGCCGCCACGGGGCGCGCTGGGCACTGCCGCTTCGCCCGCCCTTCTGCCTCGCCTGCGCCCTGGAGACCCTGGGCGATGGCGGCGCCTCGGTGGGCAGCGACCTTGTCCCCCTCTGCCAGCCTTGGGACACGGCCCCCTCAGGCCTTTTGGCCTGTGTTGGCCCCACTGAGAGGGCAGCCCCGCTACCCACCACCAACTTTTCCATCTTCTTCTCCCAGTCCGGGGTTTGGAGGTGTCCAGGTGCACCTCAGTGCTCAGCCGTGCTGCACTGGGATGTGCTTCCCCCTAGGACGGCGCAGGCAGACGCTGTGCACAGGGCCGAGGGCTAACAACGTGTTTGTTGTCTCCGCTCTGCAGCTGGTGCGCAAGAAGCACGAGCTCTCCCGGCTCCGAGAGGCCCTGGCCTGGCAGGCGCTGCCCGTTGTCCAGCTGCTGGCGCCAGATGAAGGGCTGTGTGTCCACCTCATAGGAACTCTCTTTGGTAAGAGTGCTGAAGGCCTCATACAATAGCAGAGAGAAGGCAGTTCTTGCCCGGTTTTGAACGGATGAAGAAACATGAGATTTCTCCATATTAAAAAAAAAAAAAAAAAAGATTTTGAGACTACTAATAACTACTTTCACACTCCCACCTTTCTGTGCTAGGTGTATTATTCCCTGCAGAAAACTGCGCCTGTCATTTGATTCAGAATAGGTTAATTAATTTTCTTATTCACCAAGGAGCAGAATTAGCATGTTAATAAAGCTCTCCCGCCTAAGTATCTTAGCTTGGCTTTAGGGGCTTGTGGGACTCAGTTCTCTGGCTTACGGCTCTTCCCAGAGCAAGTTCCAGTCTGCTGTCGCACCTCAGTGCTTTTTAGTCGTACTGGACTATAGCATTACATGACAATTCACACAGAATTGTAAGTGTGTGTTTGAAAAATGTTGTAGGATTTAATATGAAATGTGCAGAATACTTTTTTAAATCTTTTTGCACTATCACTTTTTATCCATAGAAATTCTCGTACCTGTAGGACTGTATTACCCACTTCTTTCAGGAGGATCAGACTCACAATGGAACACGCTGCTCAGAAAATGCCTTTCCAAGCACAGTCTCTGTGATCCTGAGCATCTCTTGGTGGTTTTTGTTTGCACAGAAGTGCTGGGGGAAAGGTCTCTGAAATGTTGGCTAAACTCTTGACAGAGAAGGAATAATGGTCTAAATGAAGCAACAATAAGGCAGGAAGAGAAAGGTGGAGGGTGTGAATGTGAGAGCCTTCAAAGAATAAATATATTGGGTTCCCCTAATTCTCAGATCTCATTTGCACATCACAGATGTTTCTTATTCTTTGGAGGGGAAGTGACTTACAAGCCCCTTCCCATGCCTCGACACAATGAATAATTCAAACAGTGTTTTCCCAGTTGATTCACACAAACTGTGCTGTGCATATGTTGGAAACGGAGCTATGTTGGAAACAGAGGTTTTGTTTTGTTTTGTTTTTTCTTGAGGGTTACTTCTCTTGTTTACACTGTCTGCATATATGGTCCTATGCAGATGTGGAGGGAGCAGTGCTTGTGGCAAGCCCAATCCTGTGCTGTAGGACCCTAACACTGAATACCCCATAAGAGTGGGGAGCTGTGTTTGCATATCAATGCTCTTGCCTATTTTTAATAATTCTGTCTTTTTCTATGAGGAGTTTACAATTTTAGGGTAGCTTTGGGTTTTACTATACTTGCTGTAAATCCTCAGGCAGTTGGGCTCCCAGTCTAAGCTTGGGGGTACATGTCAATTTTGGATAGAGCTTGAATGAACCAAGGATGCATTTGGTGCCAGAATGTAAGAGGGAGCCACAGATGAGTGTCCTAATGTCCCCGTTCCCTGTTCTTAAAGGCATCTTTTGTGATACTCCTTAAGAGTATCCCTATTCCTTTGCCAAACACAGGTTGGTGTCATGTGAGGTAGGGGAAAACTAGAGCAGTTATAAATTGATTTGCAAATCTTTTTGAGAAGGTGCTGCAGCACTGATAGCCACAAGTAGGAATGAATTCCATGATTAATTGTTGCTTCTGTTTTAGGGATGTTGCATACTGTGGAAGACAGCAGTGCCTTGGACCTGTGCCTGGAAGGTGAGAGGCAGGTGCCATGTCTCAGATACTGATGGTTAATGAGGTCAAGTCTGTGTCTAGTCCAAAACAGATAGTGAGATGTTGAGCTCCAACATGTCTAGAACTGGGAAGAAAATTTATTGTCTCTCAGCGCAGGGTGATGAACAGCCTCTCCAGACTTCTTTTTCTTTTTGACTGGGGAGGAGAATGAATGGGATGGGAGAAGCAGACATGTGGATTTAAATATTGGTCTCTTACAGGTTCTCTATACAGTGAATTTGTCCTCAGATGGATATCAGTGCCAAACAAAGCCTTGTCTTCAGGCCTGACCCAAGGTTTATCAAAGCAAATGGAAATGATCCTGTTGGCTTCAGTGAGCTTTGAGATCTGGTGCCTCTCCTCAGGACAGAGGGTTTGGGATTTAGCTACTCCTCTTTGCGAGCAGTCCTTCATTTGTAATCTGGAGGCAATGCTTGCAGGCTGAGAAGGGAATCTCTGCAGTCCAATTAACCTTGGGCATCTTTGCTGAGTCCAGTAGTATTAGCAATGCGATGGTTCCCTCCTGTCCAGCCGTGACAGATGAAAAGAGGGATGATCAGCTCATTTCCAAGAGGGTTATCAGTTTCCAGGCACGTACTTGACATGGTGTTACAGAGGTGAGAAGGTTTTCTGTCATGTTACCATTCCTCTGCAAGGTGGCTACTCTCAGAGCTGTTTTAACTGAGTGATAGCTAACTCCTGAAGGTTTTTATAGATTCTGAGAATTCTGGTCAAGAAAGGACCATTAAAACATCTATATATCAGCTCTATGTCTCTACTGAGCCCTGTAGTTTTGAGGGGTGTTTTAGTGGCTAAGGTATGTCTCTATGTCTCCTAGGTAAGCCTATAGTACTGCCTTGAGAGGTACCAAGAGATGGTGCAACTAGAAGTTTGCTAGAAAACAAACAGCACTTGTGCATCGGTGCCTGGTAAACAGTTTCTTGTTGATTCCCTCTGTTAGGACAGAGGGGACCGAGTTTTTACAGTTGGCTGTAAACTCTTAGCTTATATCTAAACATAGTCAGCTACTATGATTCTCATTCCTTCTCAGGAAGGACATGTCTTTAAAGGGCAGTTTTCATGCTTTTGAAATCCTTCCCTGCTCAGTTTTCAGAAGTTGTGATGGTTTTAAACAAGGTATTTGTTTGTTTCTTCTCTTTTCCTCCTCTCTCTCCACCCCCTCTGCCCCCATTTATTTTGTGTCCTGATGCTCAGTTTGTTGCTTTTAGTTTATTTGCATGTATGGTTTGTTGTGCTGCTCGAACGGAGCTGCTGTGGTGTTGCCACAGGAGGCCCAGGCTGGGCGATCAGAAATGATAGTACTGGGAATGCAGACATTAGCCTGCTCTGTCAGCACCCTCTTGCTCACTTAATGTGTAAGCTCTTTGCTCACTGCTCTGCTAAAACGCCACAGAAGATGGATTGTGAGTGTCCTTTGATGTGAATTACTGATTACCTTTCTCCTGCCTAGTTCTGGTGCAGCTTATAGTGGAGCTGAAGTCGGAGCAGTACTTACACTGTATTTTGGATGAAAGCCAAAAAGAGGTCAGTGAAGATGAGTTGCCTGCCCTTTGCTTCAGTGCTTCAGAGGTTGAAATGAGATTTATGAGAGGCCCAGCAAAATCACAGCTACTGCTCTAGCAGAATGTCCTAGTGCCCACTCCCCTCCTGTGATTTTGACAGCATTGGTGTCTACTCTCAAGATTTCCTGTTGTTCCTGGGAAGCCTGTCAGCTGCATGGCTGCGTGATGCCCTGATGAAGCTGTGGACTTTTTCAGGTTCTTTTTCCGTCCCTTACTATGTCGATGATAAAAGGAGCTTTCCCAGCCTGCAGCTGATCAGTGGGCCCTTGCTCTCTTCATTCCTATATTTGTGGTGGTTCCCTGAGGTATAAAAGCCTAGGAAAATAGCAAAGGTGAGGAGTTCAGCTGGTTCATCTCCTCACGTAAAAACTGAAGATGAGAGGGAAGAAGAGGAGCAAAAAGTAAGAAGCTTCTTGGGTGAATTAAGAGAGCACTGCAGCATTCTGGAGACTTAGTAGGTGTGTCCAGATTTTTCCTGTGATTTATCCTACATGGTGAAGAGGTCCATACTTAAGAAAAGATCCTGGTCTGGAGCAGTATGCATCACAGAGCACTTGCTGTTTTGTGCACATTTCCTTTTTTTGGACTGTGTCTTTGTCAGTGAAACATTTTCTTCTTCTGTCTCGTCTACAGCTGTGCAAGGCAACCACCATGAGAGGCAGCTTGCCCACATTCACTCTCTTGGGCAGGCTAGCAGATGCCATTCCTGTCCTAGCTGATTTACTGGTGGTAGAGCACAGTGAGTCATCTGTCATGCCCCACTGAAGTTTTCATCCAGGTAGTATTCACAGCCTTAGCACACTCCTGCCCCCAGCGTGAAGAACTTTCATGAAGGTCACAAGAGACCCCTTCCCCAGAAGGTGGGGTGTGTTTGGGGCCTCCAGGGTTGCAGATCAGCACCTTAATACAAGCTTGTCATTGTACTCTGTGAAGTGAGATCTGTAGGTCTGTCTTGCAGAGGATGCACGTCTGGTTCTTCTTTCCTTGGTTCAGTTCCCAGGGCTATGCTGAGCTGAGCGTGCTCAGCTGTTGGTGGAAGTGACTGGGGTGATGGGCCTTCATCTGATGAGCAGTGAGCTACTCCAATCATTTCTTTCTGTACCTCTGCTCAGAGGCTCCTAGGAGCATTCCTCACGCCTCTAAATGTGTGACTGCATTAGGGGGAGAGGTAGAGGGGAAGTAGTTACTCACTTAGTTGTGGCATTCATTGACCTGTATGCACAGGTCTGTGCAGTGGCCTTTCACAGGCTTTTGAGGGAAATGGCTGTTTAGAAATGTCAATTCCTTGATGTGAATGCTTTCCCTTACTGTTCCTCATGCTAGGTAATGTCGTGGATCACCTGCTGATGGGCTTGACGTATCCAAATGAAGGTGTAAAGGCTGCTGTGTGCTATCTGTACGGCAAGCTGTACTCCTCTCCTGTTGGCACAGAGCGGCTCTCGGCACACTTCACAGAAAAGCTCTGCGCCCTCTTCTTGAATACCTTGGGCCATGCCCAGACAAAGGAGCTCCAGGTTAATTGTTTGGGTAAGGCCTTTCTGAGAGAAGCTGTGAGGTGCAGGGAAATGCTTAGGACAGAGGAGGAAGGTCATTGCTCATCATGTGAGTTGTTTCCTAGAGGAGCATTAAACAAACTCCTAGGTGATTAGGCTGCCTTGCAGCAGGGCAACCTTGTCTGAAACAGGGATCCTTTCTGTTACTGTAGAGTTATCTCATGGCCCAGCCTGGCTGCTGAGCTTCCTCAGGCCTCTGTTGTCCCTCCAACCCCATGTTTGCCCAGCTCTGATTTTTTTCAGGCTTGGCACAGCAGCTTGACCCACCTCATTCTAGGAAAGACCACTCATGAAAGACTCTGTGTGCAAACACTTGCACAGACTGGTAGGTTCTGTAGAGCAGTGGAACGGAGTCTAGCAGATACTGTTCTCTGATATGGAGGAATGTGTTATTTAGATTAGAAAGCTAATGTGGAAACAACACTTTCTTGCATTCATGCTTCCAACTGCACTTATTAACTGTGCTGAAGAGTGCAGTTCCAGCCCTCCTGGCACTTCTTGTTTGCAAACCATTCAGGGAATTCCTCTTTCACGTAGGAGGTAAGCAGGAATTGGATTGCTCCTGAGATCATCTGCTCAGCTGGTGGAAATGGATGTACCCTGATGATTTTTATCAGTACCTGTAGCAATGCCCTGTGCTTTTATTCAGATTTTATTTGTTTGTTTATTTTTATTGATACCCTTTAACTGAACACAACTGTTCCAGTAAGAGCATGAAAGTAGGAAGGGAGGATGAGCACCAGTTCTCTAGAAAGTATTCTATGGCAAATCCGTGGTTGTTAGTGTATTGCTGTCTGTAACTTGGAAAAAAATGCAGGTCAAGAGCTCTCTCAAGAAACAGTTTAGGGAGAAGGTACAGGAGCAGGGAGAGAGTGCAGCTGTGTTCCTGAGATCATTTAGCATTGTACCTGCACATATTCTAGAAGGACTAGGGAGGAGATCAGATCCAGCAAAAACAATCAGCAACATGGGGTTGCAAGACCTGTGGCTCGTGGAAGTACCTGGGGTGCTGTCCATAGAAGATCCCTCAGTGTGAGATGAGAGGCTTTGCAAGGAGTGCAGGATAGGGAAGGAGCTGGCAATGAATGTTAGGCTATAAGTATTCCTGTGTTAATGTAATCCTTCATGTGCCCAATGTGATGCTTGCTCCCACTCCCTCTTTTACAGGTTTGCTTAAGGAGCTGCTGAAATCTGACCATTTTGTGTCCATTCTTATGAATAATTCGATAGAGGAGGAGTGTAAGAACCCTGACTTTTTAGAAGGCGAAAACCCACTGCCACTTATTCTCAAAAAGGTGATGGATGAGTGGCCTTACAGCGTGCAACCTATCACTTTCTAACAGATTATTCCTTGTTCTGAGGTGAATTGTTGGTAGAATTAAAGAATTTGCTGGACTGTAAGGGATCTTTAGTAGAGGCACTTGACTATGCTGTTGCCAGCATGGACCAGCTAAAGAGGCTGCTGTGGAAGATGGAGACACCCCCATAGATCATCCCACTGCTCATTCCTGCATTGGGGAATTTTTCCTTGTGGCCTCAGCTGACTTTACTCACTGACTGTAGAAGTCTGATACAGCACTTGTAGTGTGTCAGCATAACTAAGTATGAGCACAGAGCTGTCCTTACTCATAGTCTTGTGTATTGTGACCTTTGTTTTGCGTTTCTGAGTGTATTTGTCCCAGTGTTTTATCTTGCCTTTGCAATTTTGATCAGTGAAATACATGTCCAAAGAGAAATCTTCATTTCTTTCTTAGATTTTAAAATTTAGAGAGAACTATTTATTATTCTCTCTGTACCATTAACTTCCTGCCTCTTTTTGGCTTTTTTTTTTCCAAACAGTTTTTGTTAAGCAGAGACCAGATGTTACAGGCAGCAAGTTCTCACTGTATGGCAGCAGTGCTGGTTCACTCTCCCAGCAGATATGCTCCTGCCTTTATCCATGCCGATGTCCCAGGTGAAGTGCAGCAACACCTATTGTTTGTCATCCTGCTTGTTTGTACTAGGAATCTCTCTGGATCCAGGAAATCCACTGGTGATGTAATCTGTGCAGTGATATTTTTTGTAACAGTAAAAATAGCTAATGTGATTTTAGGAAGAGAAGCAAAGAATAATTTTTTCATTGGAATTATAGAAGCAGGTGTCAACAGGCAGAATGGAGATGCCACAACAAGAATTTGGATAGGTCTTTGAGGCCAAGCCCCCACTTGAATGATGTTAGGGAATGTTTTATGACCCCTGTCTCCCAGTTGTAAGACATCAGTTGTGCAGGTGACTTATAGCCCACTTGTCATATGGAGGGCAGAGTGCCCTTCATCATGTTATATTGCTAGCTGCCTCCTACAGCATCTGGATTTTCCTTTAAAACCTTTACTCCCAGGTTCCACCTGTCTCAGGAGAGACTGCATTTTGTTTAGATTCTAGCCTGTATAATATAGCTGCAAAGCCTTAACAGGCTGGAGTCGCATCTTATCCAACTAACTGTTGTGAGTTTGCACAGAACTTGGCCTAGGATTTAGCTTTGGAGTCCAGCTGTGGGTGATGGCTCATTATTTCACTCTTCTCTCAGTAGACATAAATGCTTTGGTTTCGTAAATCCCTTAGAAGATGAAAAAATATCACTGTATCTGTGGTAAAGCTGGCTTCGTGGTTCTTTGTTGTGCCAAAGACTAGAGCCCCATATCAGGTCCTGCCTGCAGAGTATGTGCTGGGAGGATGTCTGCCTGCAAACTCTAGTCACTTCGTTTTGAAAACTAGCATAACTCCAAGTATCCTCTGCCTTCTCCCTCGCTGCTGTTTCACACTATAACCATTCTCCCTATGGCTGTTGCTGTGATTCCTGGTCTCCTTCCTCTATGGTGTTTTAGGAGCAGCTGTGAGCAGATTCCCCCTTACCTCTTCCTTATTTGTGTGCGCCTGCAGAATTCCTCTTTGAATGTCTCTCATGCACCAATGAAATACTCATCTGGTCAGTCTATTGCTGCTTGCTGCTCCTAACTGAAGAGCGCCTTTTCTTCTCCAAGTGTCACACGGTGTATGGTAAGTCATGCCTGTCCAACAGAGTGACTGCAGTGTTAGGCAATTGCTGTGCCCCTAGCTGAATTTCAGTGCTTTAGGAACAATCCCCATTTCCAGTCAGGATGGGTAAAGGACTGAAAATGAATATCCACCAGATACGTTTGTAATGTTTTCATAGCTTGAATTTACAGTGTCTCTGACCTAATGGGTTCCTAATGAGCAAATGTGCTTTATAATAGCCAAGCCTCATGACTAACACTACCTCAGGACTTACTGGGTGTTTTTGTGGAGATGCCAATGATAGAATTAGGAAAAGAAGCCAAATTCCTTCCTTTTGTCTGGACTTTCCTTCAACAATGGAGGTTGAGGCCTATTATGAGGGAGCTGAATTAACACAGTGTTTTGGGCAGTTTATTCTGTTGGGGCCTCAGAAGAATAATTGTTGAAATCTTTCTTCCTTTAAAAAAAATATTTTCGTCCCATTCTGGATTTTGGGGTGTGCGTTAAAAGCCTTCTCTGTGCCTTGAACATGTGCAGGTGTTGAATCTCTGGTGAGAAGCCTCCGGGATGTCCTGCAGCTGAGCAATGTAGAGTTGCACAAGCAAGGGCTGCTGCTTTTCACTGAAATCCTGAAAAGGTAAGGGCTGCCCCTTAGCTGGTTTGCCCATGCAGAATTTCTGCCCCAGGGGTGGGAGCTTTGGAGGTTTTACTGTTCAGGCTTTTTTTCTGAAACCAAATATCTATGCCCTAGAGCCTTTTGTATTTGCAAGATGTTGCTGAACAAGCACATCACCCTTATCCTCGTGAAGAAGGGCCTGCTGGTTGTTCTTGGACCTCCCAGCATGTCCTCTTTGTGCATACAGCCAGTGGTGTATCTGCTTCTTCCTCCTCCTTGTCTAGTTGAGAGGCAAAATCTACTTTCAGCAGCAGAGAGGACAGAAGGGGCAGGCTGGGATGGTCCAGCCTGTAGGTGAGCAGACCTGCTCCTGCTGAGTGCATCTCTGTGACAAAAGGGAGCATGCAGATTCCATGGTTTTTGGTCCTGTGTCTTCATCTGAGCTAAATTCAAAGAAGAAAAACAAATTCCAGACTGAAATATTAATGGTTTCTGTCACTTTTTTTTCTCTCTTTTTCTTCTAAAGAATAACAAAACTTGGCTTGTTTTTCTTCTATGGTTCCTGTTCCTGCCTCTATGATTTTGTTCCTGTCTTGTCATGCTGTTGTCACAGGCTTCTTTTTTGCTGCTTGGTTCCCCCAAGAGAGCCCTTGAGCTGAATTTTGGAGATGTCATTGTCAATTCTGCAGCAAGTGGCAGGGATAGAAGGGGAAAGAAAAGCAGCAGTGTTGGAACACTGTGATGATGCCAGTGTGGGCATCTGTCAAAAGGAGAAACCAGAATGTGGGAAACACTAATTACAGCATTAACGCTTGTCAAGCGGAGAGAACGCTCTGCCCAATTACTCTAATTTTCTAGCGTTCACATTTTGGTTGACTCTGGTTTACCTTAGAAGTGTAGTTTGATTTAAAACTCCCCCACAGCGAGGGAAAGGGGTCTCCTCCTGGAATCTCTCCTTCTCGTTTCCCTCACAGCAGCTCTCTCTTGTTTTGCACCTCCCCTGCACCCTGGCAGTTTCTAGGCCAGACTGACTCCCTGTTTGCAATATTAGGAAGGCTGGGAGTGGCGAGTAGCTCTCTCTGTGCTTCTCCCAGCACCTCTGGAACAGCAGGTGCAGTTTGGGGCCCAAAGACAAGAAGGTGCACAAAGCTGCAGAAGTGTTGTCCTTCATGCCTTTTTTTTTTTTTTTCCTTTTTTTTTTTTCCTCCCACAGACCTCAAAGACATCAAAATGGGCCATATTGCAAGTGGGTTTGTGCTTCTCAAGTGAGTCAGCAATACTCCTCTAGGCCTTCCTCCTCCTTGCATGAGTCAGTAATGACTCTTCTGAAGTGTTTTACTTCAGAAGGCCAGTGATTAAAGGAAGAAAATGCAGAGGATTAATAGAATTTAAGTATCAGTAGTAGGAACAACATGAGGTTCAGCATATCCATGGCTTGGGCCATGGTCCAGGTTCCGGAGCTCCACAAGGCCTTCTCTCTGCCTTGCCCACCTCCCGGCTTTTTCTCACAGCAGAACATGAGGTGACTGCCAAGCTGGATTTGAGCGACTAAAAGGAGGGCTTCTGCCCCTGCTCACTTGTTACCCTGCAGCTGGGCTACTCATTTGATTTCTGCTGAAGTTCACTTTTCGCTCTCAAATGTGCATGGAAGCGTGTGCTCCTGGCTCACTCATCTGGCATGTCTGTGAAAACGGAATAACAGGGAATGTTTTTGGCTCCAAGTCTGGCTTCTGTTGTGCTGTGCTTTTCCTTCTCCCGCTTCACTAGCTGGTCTCTTTGGTGAGGCAAGCTGTTAGTGCCTCATTCCCACATGTAGCTGCCCGCTTCCCCCCTCCTTCCCAAAGGTATCTCACTTGTCAGGACCCGGCTGACCCCTTTCTGCCATTTGTGCAGCTTGACCCAGTATCAGAGTTAATGACTCCTCATCCTCTGGTGCTCTGGCGTGGAAAGCTCAAAGATTATCAGATGTAAGGTGATCGGACAACAGAAGTGCTCACTCTCAATCAAAAATGTCAAAACAGTTGGGTTAAGTTTTTACTTTTCAAGTTCATGAAAAACCCTGTCCTGGCAGCATCTGGCATTAGAAATGTCACAGGACTGTGAGAGAAGCTATTCTTGTGTCCTTGTCCTTGCTCTGGGATGGAAGTGTTTACATGCTTATGAGAAATGTGAATTTCCTGATGAGTCCTCAAATGCTAGAGCAGATGGGCTCAGCATAAAGTCCTAGGCAGAGAGATCACTTTGTTTTGCAGAGCCTGTTTTTCATGTGCTTTTCATATCAGGATTTGCTGGCACAGTCGCACACATATCCAGGCAGTGGGTTTTTTCACCATAGAAGGGCTCCAGACATGCTCAAGTTTGAGACTGTGTTCCTTGAGAGCAACTGGCTCCAGATACTGCAAGGCTTAGCTATCCATGTGGTGAAATGCGGAGTGGGTGCTCCAGTTACTTTATCCTGACAATATTCTCTTTGCTGTTTCCTCTTCTCAGGCAACCAGTGGAAATCAAATTATTCACAAACCGAGGTATATGTAAAGAAGCCATAGAAGTGCTGCTGGAGACAGTGAACTGCCCAGTGCTAGAGGTGGCAGTGGAGGCTGTGAAGGCTGTGGCAGCCTTTCTGAGGTAGGCAGGAGGGTGTTCACAGGTTTTTTGTCAAATAGGTCTGTTGATACCGTGTTGATGTCTGGCTCCTCTGGGACTGTGTGGGTGGGTGTGCTCCGCAGCGGGAGTTCTCGCTGCAACAGCTGTAGGTACAACAGAGCTACCCGGGAAAGAGGGCTGCAAGGCAGTGTAGCCGTGGTGGGCAGCAAGCTGCTGCAGCTAAGACTCGGGCTTGTAGCACCGAGGTCACTGTGGCTTTGTCATTCCGCGCCCTGTCTGGGTAGGTAATGAGTGAGGCTGTATTTGGGCTTGTGTCTGTATGAAGGCACTCTCTTAGGAAAGCATGTTGGAGAGAGGTGGCAGTGGCACTTTGCTGTTGAAGGAGCAGTTGTTATTCCTTCTGGTGCAGCCTTACTTCATGACTTGTCCCTAGCAGGGAACGCTCAAGCTTTCTCTCCCTCTGTGCAGGAAGGACCATCTGAGCTGCCCCCCTATCCTGTATGCAGAGCTGCAGAAGCTGCTGGAGGCAGTGCTGAAGCGATGCGCAGACCTTTCCCCACCACAGAGCAGCAAGAGGCATGCAGTAAGTCTGGAATGGATGCTGCCTCTTGGAATGAACAAGCAGGACAGGAACGACCCTCTTGGCACAATACGTGGATATTGTGGATGTGTTTCAGACCTTCTGCCTGTGACTGTTGGGCTCTCTGGTGTTTCTTCTTGATCCCCATGCCTGGAGAGGGTAGCAACCTTTGCCTCTGAGGTAGCTGAGGCTGGGTGCTGGTGAATGCCCAAGTTTCTACGTCAGTGAAGATACCTGGAACACCACTTGAGTGCGCTGTTCCCTTTAGGTGTCCAGTGCAGAGGTCGTTTAAACCTCCCCTTCTTCCAGGTCACACCTTGTAAGGTTCCCTTCTCTTTTGTTTTATTTTTAATTTTATTTTTATTTTTAGCAAAGACCATTCTGGTCTTTGGTGCCTTCTGGTGCTTTTAGATCAAGAGGATCAACTTGCATGCACTGAGATGCCTCAGCAAGGGAATTATTAGCCACTATTTGAACTGCAAGTCCTTTCCTGTTCCATGCAGTTAATTTGATGTGCTGCTGGGAACTGTGCACCCTGAGGACTGTCCCCTTGTCAGGTATCAAGGACTGGACCCCATTGCTGTGGGTTTAGGAGCACATGGTTTAAATCACAAATATTTCTGTAGAGGCAAGACCATCTTGTTGGAGTACCAGAGAGCCAAATGTCTGCTGAACTGTCTCTAGATCTGCAGCCCAAGCTATGTGACACTGTCTGGAGATAACGGAGTTGCTTTCTGCCTGAGGGGTAGACATCTGTCAGTCTCTTTGCACACACAGAGCTTGGTGCCCTATTCAGAATAAGAGGCCTTATAGGAAGGAAAATAGGCAAAGGATAAGGAAACCCAGGCAGTCTGAGATGGGAAGAGGGGGGAAATGAAATGACTGCACCTCTGGTAAGGTGTCTTGGCATCAAATGGGGAGGGAATTTGTAGATCAGGAGTTTTGATCTGCCATGGCTTGATGGAACTAGCTTGCTGTGCCCTTCTGGCCAAACTTGGTGGGATGCTGTGTGGGAAGAACAGCTGGCACCTGGGCGATTGCTTCCAAGATTTGAGTGCTGACCATGTCCAAAGAGCAGTTGGAGGAAAATGGATTTTTAAAAAAAAGCACTATGTTTTCCCTGAAATGTTTGAAGCTTCAATTGCTGAACCAATTGAAACTCAGACTGGACAAAAACATGGGAATAGAAACTGTACTATTCAAGGGATGGGGCAATGCAGAGCTAGCAGCTATATTCCCTCAGGAAAGCAGAGTAACCCTCTAACCCTGCCCTGCCTAGGAAATCACAATACCAAAGATATAACTATATGAAGGAAGTGAATAACGTGAAATGTTTTTTTTTTGTTGTTTTTTTTTTCTTTCTTGCTGCTTGTATTAGAGAAGTAAGCTCTTTAGTTTCACAATGAACACAAGATCTTGAAGACTTCTCTCCTTTAACAGGGTGACCTCCTGTTCTCAGTGCCTCAGAGTCACACAGGAAACAGAAACCTTAGCAGAGTTCCTCAGAGACAGGGCCAGTTCTTGCTTCATACCCTGGAAAGTTTCAGAAATGCTTGTAGGTGAGGAGTAGGGGAGGGCTGTGGGTGTGTTTGTGAGTGTGAGTCCTGACACATCATTGCTGGGTTTCTCTACCCTGCAGTATCAGTGTATTTGTGTTACACTTACCAGTGAAGCTCCAGAATGATGGACGTGAAACATTGTGGATAGTGGCAACTTTGTGGTACCTGCAGGTATCTCCCAAGCAACTTGACTGAGACCTATCAGTTTATTTCATCTCTTTGGCCATTGAAGACTTGCTTGAAAATAAGATTAAGAAGAAAATGGACAGTATCATTATCGAAATCCAGTAATGATGTAGGGACTGATGGGAGGTATATGTGAAGCCATATTCCATTTCTTATGCCCCAGGCTATGCAGTCTCACTGCTGGAGAGGATTAACCATTTAACAAATAAGTATCTAGTCCAGCTGCTGGACTTGTATTTGCTCATATCTGTGTTATGTTGCTGCATGTGGGTTCATGGGCACCAGTTTTTCCTGTTTTACTGGATGGGAGACATCCCCTAGCGGGCCAGGAGAAAATGGAAGATGGGTTTGCATAGGAAACCTCCTCTGCTGCAAGGGAAGACTGATTTTTATGAGGTTTGCTGTATTGTGTTCTAGCCATTCTGGCCTGGCTGAGTACATTCAGTCTTGCCACACCGAGGCCTCCCAATGAAGATATTTCCTTCGGAGAAGCTAAGTCTTCCTTTTCCCAGCTTGTGCTACTGTTATCAAACATTGCTGACTTCTAATAGCTTCACTCAGGAAGAAGTTGTTACTGCCAGAAGAGTTTCCAATACATCGTTTTTGTTCCTAGGGTCCCTAATGGTAAAAGTTGTGAAGGAAATGCAGTATCTCCTAGCTTTCTTTACTGAGTGGGGAGAGTTCCTCTCTCCTCTGGGTTTTACTGTGTGTTTGTAGGTTGGCAGTGGAGTTCCAGAGTGACCCGATGGCCCAGGAGAATGCTTTCACTGCCCCCAACTCTGAGAGCAAGGACACTCTAAGCAACTTCTCTGAGTTTCTGTTGAGGATTTGTGACAATCTCTGCATCCCCATGGTCATGGTAGGATTTCTTTTGAACTTGTGTCTTCCCTGGGTACCTGGATAGGTGTTCTTAGGGATGGAGAGATGATGGGAAAGGTGTTTTGGAAAGAGAGTATGTAGCACAAATCAAGTGCAACCGTGGCATTTGCCAGCTCTTCAAATATGAGTGCAGCATTACAACATTCATGCAAAATGGGAGTGTATGGAGTCCGAGGGTGAGGAAATTCATAAAGCTTCCATAGAAATTGCAATGTCTTTCTTCAGACTGTGCCATCCCCATAGCAAACCTGACATGTTACCTAATCCACAGTTGTTGTGGACAGTTAAGAACGCAGGAGTGCTGTTTCCAGAAGGTAATTTTGAGCCCGTCTGGCAGACACAGCAAGGACAAAACTAGGCCAGTGAGGCTATATAGTTTGAAAAGTAGCAGTGGAGTCGCTTGTGCATTAGTGCTCCATGGCAGCCTTTCACTAAGACACTTAGAGCGTGGTTGTCCGAATGATGGGACTCTGATGCGCTCCCAGGTGTTGAGTAAATTTTCCTTGCGCTTTGCCACTGTTTCAGATACACAACTTCTTGCTACACCTGGGGGCCTGCGGATTTTTTGTTTTATATTTTTAACAGTTGGTAGGCATTGTTACTGGCTTGCTATTCTCAGCCTTGAAAGCAGAGTGTAGTGCAGCCCAGGTTGGCAAAGCTGGAGTGAGTGTGCTGCTTCTTGCTCACTGGACTTAGGTAGAAATTGTGGACTGTGGTAAAATTGCCCTGTGGCCCTCTGTAAGAGTGAGTTGAGATGTTCTGTTCTAAACCATTTAGGGCTAGACCCTGCAGAGGACCTAAATGTCTGTATTTGCTCCTACACAGCAAAATGCTGAAGCACAAGTACTAAGTGGCATTGAACCTAGGCATATGTCCCGTGTCTTGCTGCAGAATTAGACATTTGACCTGTTTTAGAAGTTAGGTAACATGAATGGTAATGTCAGTAGTTCTGTGAGGGTGTAACTGGCTGCCAGCTGGAATCAGGAAGGAGTTTCTTGTTTAATGCAATATCTTACAGCATTGTTCATAAACTTTGGGTGGAGGAGCATTAGTTGCTTTCAAAATGATCTGTGAGCCTGTTTACCTGCTGCCAGGCAATTTGATAGAAGGGCTGTTACTGCCATTTATGTGGATTTGGAAATCTAATATTCTGGGCAGGGAGAAGCAGGAAGAGAGCTGCTGCTTTCTGTACGCATGGCATACCACCCATCTGATATTTTCTTCATTCTTTCCACAGAGCTACCTGGAAAGGGCTGTCAGCCCGTCAGTGATGGAGGTTTTCATATCAACCCTTAATATCTTGTTTACAGTGATGCCAAACATGAGGGATAAATTCTCCAAAAAGCTGGGTACGGATGATATGCCCTGTGCTGCTTTGCTTGACAGATGGAACTTGCTGCTGCTGCATATTTTGAGGCAATGAGCTTAACAAGACTTTCAGTGGGGGATTACACTGCGTGTTTGTGTGGGTAAGAACAGAGTGTGCAGTCATGTTCAGTAGGATGAAAAGTTATTTGCTCTAGGAATGGTGATAGGACTGATCTTATCTTAGATAAGTAAATTGTGTCAGCTTTACCCCTTCCTCTGAATACTCAGAGTTGCCATGTTTCTGAAGATAGGAATTATGCTGGAATTATCAATTGGTTTTTACTATATACAAACCTACTGACTTTGTACTGTCTTACTCTGTAGATCAGAAAGTGATGTACAGAATCCCTCTTTTCTAAATATGTAGAGCTAGCAAATCTTTCCTTCTTCTCCCGACAAGGCAAATGAATCTCAGATACTGTCCTCCAAATCAATGGTTCTGGAACTTGTGTGCTCTTCTCCCTCATCAGACACACTTGGGGCTCTTTAGACATTTCTGTCTTTCTTTCTCTCCAGCATCCTCCTCCTTCATCCGCCTGACATTGGAGCTGAAGGCCAGATTTTGCTCCGTGCAAAGGTATTGTGATGTGTATATTGGAAGTGAGTCATAATTTTCCAGGTGCAAAAGCAGATCACGGCTATCTAAAGCAACTAAATTAGCCAAGAACTGAGCCTAGAATGCTCAACAGTCATATCTTATTGCAAAACTAAACAGTGACTGAGAATGGAAAAGCTGTGAGAGCAGGGAAAGGCAGGTAGTTAGTGGGAGGGTGAATGGGTGCAGCTTTGTGAGAATTCCGTGCAGCACTGTAAGCCAGGCAGGTGTGGATACAGCAGCCTTGGAGTAGTGAAATCTGTGAGTCTTCTGGAAAGAATTGCAGTGGCATCATTTCCATTTGAGCTCTGGCTTTCTAGGCTTTCTAATACCACTACTTATGTTCCTCTTGGCATCAGAATGTATAATAAATAGGAAGGGTAAGAAAGATTAACAAGATATATTGCAAATGGTTATCTCTGGCATAGGTTATGATTTTACAGTTGAAGAGTGCTTGGAGAGACTTTCTATGAGTCTGCAGAGATGTTTTGTGTCCTCTTCCCTGTGACTGCAACTTGTTAAATGAGTAGACAAAAAAAAAATACAGCACCCCTTATTCAAGTCACCACTGTGGGAGCTAGCATAGGGATATGCCTTTGGGTGGTGTGGGGGGACTGATCTAGGACTGCGAATATTGTAGCATGTGGTGCTAAGCATGTCATGTTACAGTACAAAGATGTTTGGTTATGTCCCATTCCACAAGGAAATCATTAGGGAGAGGGAAGTGCTTGCAAGTACAGCTTTTCTCACAGCTTTTAAGTATTTTTTTGTCATTGCTAATTGTTCATCCCTGGAAACATCATTGTCCCAAAATCTTCTTAGTAGGGTTTGTCAATGGTATTGGGTATTGGGAGCCCCTCCTCACAAACCTCTTCTCTTCTGTGATGTTAGAGATCATGACATTGTCCCCATGTATATTCACTGTCATCACTGCTACTCTGTCTGCCACATCTGTCTTGTTTTGGCAGAGCAGGTATTTGTATGTGATTCAGTAAACTGAAACTTGACAGATGCTGTGTGATATTAGACGTGGGATGAGGTTTCTGACCTTCTCCCTTTTATATTTCTGGTGTTCTTCACAGTAATCCTGTCTTGAATCAAGCATGTTCCAGCTTCCTCTACAACTTGTGCCTGAGCCTCTACTCTGCAATGGAGAAGGAGGGAGATTCTTCTCAAAATGGCAAGTCTGGGGAAGAAGACAACTTGCTTCATTTTGGTTGAGGTCTAGCCAAGCTCTGTTTAGGCAGTAGGAGGGAAGGAAAAAAAAGAGTGCGGGGGAGACGGTGGGTGGAGGAAAGGGGAGACACACATCATCTCTATTTTGAGATTTTCTTCGGCTTTTTCTTAGGCTGGTCTGCCAAGAAGATGTATCAGAGAGTGCCTCTTGAGAAGTACTAAACCCTAGCTGAATGAACGTGGTTCATTTATGTGTGGGTTTGCTCACCTGGTGATATTCATTAGCACAACTGCGCATACTTTAATTAAAACAATGTTACTTGTCAAGGAGTCACCTTTATCTGGGAATTAAGGTCACCTTTTTTTTTTCCCTTTGGTTTATTTTATAAAGCTTTCCTATATATACTGCAACTTTCCATTGTAGGTGAGTCCCAAATAAATGAGATGAAAGTTTCTACATAATAAAATCCACTGTTCTCCCTGGCACTGCTTGGATATCATACTGGCAGCACTGGCAAAGAGCTGGGGACCTCAAAGCAAAAGTCTCCTTTCATCCTCATGGCCAGCTCTGTTAGATCAGGTTTTGGCTTCTGTTCATGCCAAATCATAGAGGTGCACTTGCTCTTTCATGTGCTGTTTGCAGACTTGGGGGGTAGTCGTTGGGTTTTAATACTACTCAAACCAAGAGCTTCCCAAGTTTAATGTGCTTCAGTTTAGGATGGGCAGATCCTCCCATACCTCTCTGTTTTAGCATGGTCATTCCGCATCCCTACCTATCCTGCTCATACTGGTTTCATTTCCAGAGCAAGAGATGTTTGAGCTCCTGCAGAAGGGCCTGCCTCAGTTAAACTACACGCTTCCTGAAAGCCTTCTCCTCCTGACTGAAAATCCTGAACCTTTGTCTTTGGATCAGTCTCTGTGCAGCCACCAGTATTGCTTCATACTCCTCTTATACTTTGCCTACACCCTTGGGGACAGGTGAGCCACGCGTATACAAATGCAGGTGGTTGTGAGTTATTTTGACCATCATGCACCAATTTTTAGTGGGTGAGGCTTGTCCAATTTTCCTGTTTCTTCTCCAATCTCCTTGACTGCAGGTTTGTCCCAGAGGCAGAATTATTTTTAGCCATAAAAAGTTTCCTTCTATCAGCACAGGACCGTGGAGACTGTCCCCCTCCATACATATTCAGAGCTGTGCTTCACCTCCTTGCTGTCTGTCAGGACAAAAGCAACGACCTGGACTTGGTAAAAGAAAATTTAATTCCTCCATCTTGGACCTTTTCTGTGGAGTTTAACTGAGGTTCCTCCCCGCCCCCATCAGCCCTCTTGTGGGCTGTGTTTTGATGTATGTGATGAGTGATGAATGAGTGGAAAGTGTGCAGTGTAGCTACGCCCTGGAAAGCTAACTGTGAAAAGCCACTAGGGGATATAGGTTTGATTGAATAAGCTTGTGCTATGTGTGGGAAGTGTAAATGCGTTGGATAGGCTGTGAATTCACATACAGAATATTATAAACTTCATAGCTGCGATCTCCTGAACACATCCCCAGCCTCTGCAGAGTACTTTCTAGTGTTCCCATATGGCTTTTTGCTGCTGCACAGCTTTGAGCACTGCATAAAGCCTACAAGTTTCTTAGTCTTTGTGATGCAAATGGGCCTCACAAAATGATCTGTTTGATTGTCTGCTCTGAAGGCAGTGTGACTTTTTCTCAGGGTAGATACTAATCACTTCAGCTTTTGGATATTCACTATCTAGTTGTCATTTTGTTCTCTCTCTCCCTTTCCTTCCCACACACTTGTCAGAGGTCATTATGCGCCATAAAGAGGATCCTGGATAATCTCCCAGATCTGGGCTTGGTCTACGTTCACTGTCCTCTTTTGCTGAGTTTTTTCCTGCGCTATCCTGAATTTATGGGCAGATTTGGACACCAGATCCTCCAACTCTGGTTTTCCCGGGAAGACGGCAATCAAAGTGAGGCTGAACAAGCTGGTTTTGACATGTCTGAGCAGCTGAAGAGGGCCAACCCTTTGCTTCCCATTCTGAAGAGCAATTCAAGCGTTTTACTTATTTTACTGGTACGTGACTCTCACAAGGACAGCCTGTTATCTCTGGCCATGATTCAGGGGGAGCACTTTGGGCTTGTTGATTTTTAAAGCATTTTGGGTTTTTCTGAGCTCAAGGAATTGAACTGCATGCACAGATTTCCACCTCCCAGGCAAACCTGCTATGGCAAATGGCACTGTGTGTGTGTTAGCACTACTGCTATCCACTGTGATAAAATGGGGTCTTTGGAAAACTGGCTAGGAAGGGATCCGAAGAGGACTGCGATATCTGCCATGGAAAAAAATTCTTGGGCTCTACCCTTTCCCTCTCCAGATAGACTGCTGGGTACTCTAGATCATTCTGTGGCACTCTTTCAAGAAGCGGTTTGCTATTTTGGGAGCAGTTGTGTCCTATTGATAGATGAGACGGATATGAGAAACAAAGAACTTTCAAAAAGCAGCATGTAGAGAGCAGGACCTCAGGGCTCAGCTTTCTGTTAGCTTTTTTTTTTTTTTTTTTTTTACTTTGTGTTGAACTGGAGAGTTTTGTCTGAGATTTCTGCAGTGCTCTGAATTTTCAGGACTGTAAATGGCCCATTGTGTTGTTCTTAAATAGTAATAATAAGAAAAGATGAGAGAACTACTTGCTACAGGGAAGAAAGGGGCCTTGCAGTAGTTGGACTTCTGTTTTTGCCTTTAGCTGGTGAAATGAGCTCTGTTTGTCTTTGTAATCATAACAGAACTCAGGTCCTGATAGCTGTTCAGAGGGTTTCTGTCATTTCCACCTCTCCTACCTAATCTGTCACTCCTCTGCATCAATGACCAGTTGCCCGTGACTACTTAGCCAGTCATGGCAAATACTTATTAACATTTCCACACAGAGACATGAGATTTGCTGGTAAAGACAAAAGCTAAGATCTGTGGTTTTTCTCTTCCAACCCATTATTGAAAGTAAAGATATGGAGCATTGAGAATAAAACCCTGTGCCAGTACACAGAGAAGAAGCAGGGTTTGGTTGTAATGCCTGAGGTGGCTGGAGGCTAGGAATCCATCTAACACAGGCATTATAGACTGGCATGTATTTATTCTGGTCTAAGAGGCTGTGAAATAATTTTTAATATCCCAGGATACTGAAAAGACTGGCAGGATGGAGTGTTGCTCAGGACAGTTCTTTTATAGGCTTGGGCGCTCTTGTAGAGCAGGTAGCAACATCCAGGCGTTTGATATTACTTCCCGACTATTAGTAAAAGCAATCAATACATTGACAGATCAGTGTGCATGAGAGGAAGTGTCCCATTAGACTTGTCTACCTTTGGCAATAGTTTTGGAACCTATCACTCCTCAGGCTAAAGTCAGGTCTACAAATTGGCCAAAGAGAAATGATGGCTCCCTCTCTGAACGGTGCAGTATTCCTGCGTTCCCCTTGTCTGTCTTGCCTTGTGCTCTTGCAGAAATAAATTAATTTAGCTCTGTCCTAGTCTTTAAAGAGAACTGTAATAAATCACAGGCTTTGACAATTCACCTCTCTGTTGAGGAAGAGCATAATCAATCTGAATTTATATGGGCTAATAAAACAGTGCAATATCTTAGAATAAATATACTGTCAGATATACACAAAACTTATGAGGTGAATAATCCCAGTCCAAGAAAACAATAGTAAAATGAAAGGCCTCTGCATGGTACAGTGAAACAAAAATGAATATCTGTCCAAGCATGATTTATTTGCTTATCTGCTTTTAATAAATGTCTGGATTAGATAGAGCAGATGGTTAGTGGCTTCGTTGGAGACCTTGAGCTCTTGAGTAAGAAGGAAAATGTTAATACAGGGAAGCATTTACCAAGGCCAGGAGGGCTGTAACCCTTGGTTAGCACTGTCCTGTGCCATCCTGTACCTGTCCACCTGGTGATAAATGTGGTAGCTGTCACACACTGGCCCACCTGGCTTCTCCATGGTCCAGATGCGAGCTGCTCTCCTGGGGCATGGGGATGGGTTATCTGACATTAGGTTACGTTCCTGAATGCCACTAACAGAGAGAAGCTGAGGAGAGAAATTGAGAATAAACACAGGTACTTAACACTGTGTTGTGTCCATAAAATTTGGCTTTCAGAGCAGATTGTGTATCCCTTTCTTTCTGAGAGAGAATCGAGATAATTTTCCATAGAAAGCAATTGTGGAAAAACCTTCACCTGCAGAAGTTGTCATCTTAACTGCAGGAAGCTACAGGTGTTTTCTGTCATGATGTATAGGATTGATGCTGCCCCTGTAAATTTTATCATCTGCAGCTTCATGGGATGTTCTCATTGAAACAGCAGCTCACCCTGTGTGCTGAGCCCAGCTGGCCTGGTGCACCTTGTGACAGGAAGCCCTGCAGGATGGACTCGGCTGATCAGTATCAGATTAATCTCTTTTATTTCTCTGAACGTCCCCTTGCCCTTGTGTGGTGAGGGAAGGTAAACAGTGCTACCTTCACTGTGTTATTCCTTATTCTGCACCATACAGTGCTCTTCTTCTGCCCTTGTGTGGTGAGGGAAGGTAAACGGTGCTACCTTCACTGTCTGGAATTCTCCTAGTATTTTTAGCCTTTCTTCATAAGGAGATCTCTGCATTCTGCAGAGGAGGAACACTCGGCTTTTTCACCTGGGCTGGGTTAAGCCCACTGTGCCAGTGCTTCACATTGTACCCCTTTATATGCAATATTTCTGGCATGTGCTGGAGTGAGGGATTTGGCAGAAAAGGTGCCAGAGAGCAGTCCTCTGACATCGGAGCTGCTTGTGCGGCCGGCCCCCTGCTTGTTCCCAAAGGTCTCAGCTGTAGGCGGGAATGAGCCCTCAAAGCTGGAGGAATTTTTCTGGCACGGGCAGGCGTTTCTTACCTTAACCATTTTCCCTGGCCGCTTTGCTCTCCCCCATCAAGACTGGATGCATAACTATCATGCGAGAAGGGAACATAACCAAAAAAGAAGGGCTCAAGGCTGGGTGGGCGCTCCTGGCAGGCTGTGGGCTTGGCAATGTTGCTCGGTGCCGTTTCTTTCGCTGTTTCCCTCTTTCTGCTGTACCCTTTGCAATGCAGTAGTCAGGAATACAGGGGGAGGAAGGGATGGTGGTGCTGACTTATGTAATACCATAGTGTTGATGTTTGCTTCCTCAGTTTTATGGAACTGTGCTTATGCTTATACTTGTATGCATGGTGAATTTGATGTTAAACACCTTAACATCAAAAGCGTGCCTGAATTAACGCTAGTGGCTGTGGGATTTGGCTCCCCACAGAGCTGTATTCCAGAAGCAGTCCTGTGGGCTGCATGCTGTACACACAATTCTCCCGTTTGCACTGCGTGATTGCTTGTCTGGTTTACGTTTCAGGCAGTTTAGCTGTTACGTTGCTGCTGCAGATACTGGGCTGCCAGCCCAAGACTTCTCAAAATAAGTAGCTATGGACTGACTCACAAGCTTAGTTTTAAGCAAGCACCCTACTATGTGGCCTGATTTTTCAAAAAAACAACAACAGGGAGAGCAGGAGTCCCAGAGGATCTACATTCTTAAAAACCAGGCCCTGACTTTAGGAACCCATCTTCTAAAATACTGACCCTAAATATTGTTGGAAGGTAAAGAGCCAAATGCTTTAAATGGGATATTATCCAGTGGTGCCTATCAGAAGACAGCGTGCCTGCCTTATGCAATATTGCATTTAATCAGGACATACTTAATCTGAACAGTGCTTTATTAGAGTGTTTCCCAAGGCACTAGATTAGCATAATGGTAAGAAATAGCAGTGTCTTCCGCCTAATCAAGGCAGAAAGGTAGTGTGTGCTTTTCCCTCCCAGGACTTGGTCTGCTCAAGCTCTGTGGACGTGGCTCAGAAGGTGCTGGTGACTCTAAGATCCTTCTTGGAAAGAAATGAGGATGTCCTTGTCTGTGACCTCCTCCGGAGTCAGTTCCTGCAGATCCTGCAGCAGCTGCTGGTAGAGAGCAGCTCTGCCTCCTTACAAGGTGACCTTCCTCTATGTTTTGGGTCTTGTGAGGATTTTTCTGGGGTTGTAGGTGTTTGCAGTATGTTTGGCTCTTCTGTGCCAAACCTGCACAGTTTGGCAAGCAGTGATGGCAAGCAGAAGGGAAAAGAGCAGTTTTCAAAGGGGTGGTCATTACTAGCTAATGAGCAGTGTGAATTTAAATGTGTGGTAAACATGCACCCTATGTGGTTCTCTAAGAGGATAAAAGATAAGCGTAACCTCCTTTTTTTCTGCTCTTTGCTAGTTGTCCCTACAATGGGTTTGGTGGGACCTAGTGTGTAACTCAAGGCCAGCACAGAGTCAGGAAGGGAGCCTGACTTAGAGGGGGCTGTAGAGAGCAGAATGAGGTTGGGGAGATATTCATGGACATGTATGGAAAGGCGTATACTTGCTTCTTTCCACCTACCCTTGTCTGCAAGCCTGAAAATTCACAATTCTTGACACATTTAGAGGTAGAGCAGTTCAGAGTTTGCTGAAAAGTTGTCCGTCCTCCTCTTAGCTAACAGGAACCTGCCTCTTTTGCTGAACCTCCTTTTCCTGGTGCATCTGCGGAGCAGGGATGTGAGGGAGCTGGACAGCACAGACTTCAGGCTGCTTCACCAGGGTGAGTCTGCACCTCTGTCTTCTCTCAGGGGGCTTTGCTCTGCATTCATTAGTTGTTCCATGTGATGATTAGGGGCTGCCTCTTCACCCTTTTGGAGAATGTGTATCCTATACTACATTTATGGTTACTTTAAGGCACTTTCATAGGCAGAGTGGTGCAGAGAACCCTTGTTACCAGTTCAAGCAGTGAAACCCAAGTTTTCACCTTCTGCCTTTTACATCTGTTGTCTGAAATCTCACAAGGTGGTCAAGGTTTTTGCATGGCCATGACACCATTTTGAAGCCTCTGACAACAAGCCTGAAGGCACATTGAGGTGGCTTTCGAGGATTATTTATTCAAACTTTCAGCTCTTCAAACTATCTGCTACAACAGCTGCCGAGCCCTATAGATGTGGCTTTCCCTCCCAAACTCTCTTGCTAAACACTCTTCCTAAATGCTTGGTGTGTTCAACCAACATGGTGAGTTTACTACTGACCTGAGGAGAATTTGTGAGACTGGAGGAACGCAGTTATCCATGCGGTTTCTCAGACTGGCCATCTATGATTTGAGATAAGCACCTGGGTGTCTGACTGGTGCTGTATTAGAGTAATAGAGTCAGGCTCTGCCTCTGCAAATAGGTAGCTTATCTCATAGTCCATATCTCCTGGAGTTATTACTGCAAAATGTAATCTATTCCCTTTAATAAACCCTTTTCTGCTTTGTATCCTGCTGTTATCATTCTCTAGTGCAGTGTAAAGTGGGCTCTGAGGCAGACTCTCTTGCTTTGTCTGGGCCATGCTCTGTTCAGGTTGTGCTACTCCCGTCTGAATTCTACCTCCGGTGACTGACTTCTTTCTTGCACTGAGGTGCTCTGCTATGCTGGTGTGTTTGTTACACATTCTTTCACTTCCAGTGAGTAATCTCTGTGGGAAATGTACGCCGAGGGACACTGACCTCCTGCAGCCATCCTTGAATTTCTTGTACTGGAGCCTTCATCAAACAACATCTAGCAGTCAACAGAGAGGTGAGGCAGGACTGTGTTGATTGCTGAGCTATTTTCAGTATGGCTCTTACCAAGCTGTAGCTTGGCCATCACAGATTGTGTTCTAACCTTCTCAGCAGGTAAGATAGATTTTCCCTCTTCAGATGCAATGTTACAGTTAACAAAGAACATTTTGTATTTGGGGCGAAGTTTTTAGGTTGTGCTTGCTTTGTTTTGTTTTGCTGCTTTCTGATGATTCAGGATTTGGCTGCTGAGAGACAGAACCACTATATTTTTCTTGTTCATAAAACACAGCAGTTGGCCTTTGGTGCCTTGTCGAAATGTCCTTGAATTACTGTGGTTCAAAAAATTAGACAAGAGAGGCAGCTCTAAGCAACCTCACAGCTGTGTTAGCTGAGCAGTGGTCATTTTATTAGCTGGCCTAGCTGTCACTTGTGCTATGTCACATGAATACCAACACAGCTGAACAGCCTTATTCTGATGAGCTGGGGCCTTGGGGGGCTGCCTTGCTGCAGCAGAGACCTGCTCAGCACTTTTCTTCTGCTTGTCAAGCTGCTTTATCCCGTGCCATCCCCGTGGCTCTCTGATGCTGTTTCTCCTTCGCAGCTGTGGCTGTGCTGCTGTCCAACGTGTCCTTGCTAGAGCTGCTGCAGAAGGTTTTGCAGCGCACCTGGTTGTGGTCCTGTCCCTCTGCGTCCACTTCCCTGTCATCTGAAGATGCCTTGCTCTGCTCTGTGTGGCTGTTGGTGGCTTCCCTCTTAGTTTATCAGCATCAGTACAATGCTGAGGTGAGAATCTCTTCTGCAGATAGATCCAGGGAATGGCTAAACCTTAAACAAAATAAAAACCAAAAACACCAACTTCCCCCACAAAAAAAAAAAAAAAAGGAAAGGAAAAGCTTGCATTGGGCTGGAATGAGGTCCCCTTGGTAGCTTTTTTATTATTACAGTTATTCCTTGGTGCATGTCTACAGCCAGGCTGGAGGCTAGTATGCTTCTGAAGACTGTGGCATGAATCACTGGAGAGCTATGGAGTGGGACAAAAGTCCTGGGAAGGAAAAGCCTAGGGAACCCTCTTGTTCCAAAACACTTTCCTCTTCATGACAGGACAAAATACTTTTCAAGGTGTTTCTGAAGGGAAGGCTGGCGGTGGGAAGAGCAACTCCCATGTTTTAAAATGCTTTGTTGATTCTGGAATGATCGTCAGTGGAACAGGCACAATCCAAAACTGTTACTGGCAAATCAGCCCTCAATGTTAGCAGAGCTAGTGTGAATGTGGGCAGCTGTCACTGTACTCAGTGCTCTGCAGTCCAAAAAGAGAGCTGAGCTGGAGCTGTCAGCTGCTTTTGGAATTACAAGGGAGAGGGAATGGAGCACTTTCCAATGCCAACACAAGGGGATGACATTCCCTTCCAAGTATCTACTGTTGCTTTTCTCTCCTCTCCTGAAATGAGGTTAAACAGCATGGCTAGAATTCTGAGCTCTGTTCCTGAAGCTGCATCTAGCTGAGGATGTTCCTAATGAGTCAGTGCGTCTGGTCATGAATGATAAAATCCTCAGGCATCTGCACTGAAAGGCAAGGGTTGGTTTTCTAATGTCGTGGGAGGATTTTTTCCAAAGGGCCAGACTAGACCAAGTCTGTACCTGTTGTTTAATGGGTGTGCATGATTAATTCTTACAGCATTGGACTGACAGCTGTGTGAATGTGTAGGGCGACCTGCCTGTCCCTCTCTATCAGTGTTACACACAGACAATTTACCTTTTCAGTTGGCAGGTCAGGGCTGTGTCTGGGTGGTCAATCCCCAAAAGAGCTAGTATCGAGTTTCATCTCTGGGAGAGACTTTCTCAGCTTGTATTGATCCTTGAAGTGCAATCATTTAATCACTTATAAGCCTGTTGTTTAGCAATACCTTATTGCTTGATGCACTATGACATGAAATCTAGAATCTGTCTTGCGCCAGAGGTGTGGAAAGAAACTACAGATGCAGGTGGCAAATGCAAGAAGTTCCAGGATGCTTCAGTGCTTTTAATTTTCAGCACTTCTAAACTTCAGCATTTCTAATCTTCTCATGAGGGGATAGGATGTAGAGTTACTTCTCTTTTTGCTGCATACTGCTCATGCTGCAGAGAGCATCCTGGAGACCCTTGCTGGCCTCTGTGGCTGTGGGCTGGTGCCAGGCTTTATCCTGGAGCTTGCACTTTTTAAGAGGGGAACAGTGGCTCTGAGAAGTGCGAGCTGCCTGTGTTCATCTCAGGCTAGTGGTGTTAATGAGGACTCGAGCTGCCTGTGTTCATCTTAGGCTAGTGGTGTTAATGGGGACTTGTCTGCCCAGAGCAAGCTTGGGCCTTAACTATGTTGTTGCTGGTGGCATTAGCAGGAGCCAGGAGCTGCTTGGGGCTGTGGACAAGCTTGGGACATGGGTTGGACGCTTAATAAGGACTTTGTCTTGACAATGCTTAGATAAACGACCACTGTTATCTATGCTGCTCTCGTGTGCTCTGCTCTGCTGTCGAGCATTTCTCTTTGGAGGGCAATTTGAAGGAATAAGCATAGTGATCCTTGTGCCTGCCCTCCCATGCCAACTCTGTGCCCTGCTGCAGAGCAAGTTCAGCCCCTCCTAGGGCTCTCTGAAACTTTATGCTGTTCCTTGCTGAATGTCTGCTCCATGAAGGAAACACTGTGTACTGCAGACTCTCCTCCTGAGTCTTTCCTGTTTCCCCTAGTCTGAGTCCCAGCCTCCTGTCTCCCTTGCCCACACCTTGTCCTCGCCTGTAAAGCAGTTCCTGGCCCGGGGCTCTCTGCAGGCCTCCCAGCTGGAGCAGCCAGGACCAGCTGTTTGTTGTCACTGTTCCTGTTTGGCTGCACAGCTAATGGGTCTTGCTGACGGGCCTGAAATGGTCGAGGTCAAGCAGTCTCTGGTACTGGCTGTCCTAGTGTTCCCTGTGCTCAGCAGCCTGGCAGCCACATGCCAGAGAGCAGGCAGTGAGCGAGGTGGCCTGGTGGGCTGTCACCGTGGGTTGCAAGGTGTGCAGGGCTGGCAGGTGGTAATGAGTGAAGCAAGAGGCCCCAGTTTCGTGACTTTCCTTTCTGGGTTAGAGTCCTTAAGCCTTGTTGCTGTGCCTTTTTTTTTTTTTTTTCTCCAGAATATCATCATGGGATAGTGTCTAAAGACTGGAATTACCAGGTCAGATCAGCACCATTTTTTTTTTCTTGTATTTCCTCTAGGTTCACCAGACGCTCTCCCTAGACCTTACAGATGTCCTGAATGCAATCATCTTCAGGAAGAAGAAGCCCATCCTGCTGCTAGGTACTTGGTTCCTGTTGTAGGATGTGACTTGAAGCAGGTTAGCACCAGGTTAAAGGAGACAGAAGCCTCTTTAAGGGCAAAGTGAATGTGGGACAGGGCTGTGTAGGTGATGGTGAGAATCTGGAAGCTTTGGTACATTTGGCGTAGGGAGTACATGTTTGGTGGTAAAGAAAAGCAAAAGAGATTTAAAAAAAGAAGGAAAAAAGGGTGGATAAATGGATACATTCATAATTCATCTTGGAGGTGGGCAGTGACGTGCGGAGCTGAGCATGAAATAGGTCTCAGCATCTGAGAGTGGGAGGTGAGCAAGGGTACTTCTTGCCATTCCTACCTGCATCTGTTAGCAACTGCTGTGCCTCTCCAGTGGGCTGTTAAGCTTGAATTTTGTCTCCTCACATCTTCTACATCCTGACATTGACATCAACCCAAAGAACAGGGGAGAGGAAAACACTGCTATCTACTAATGAGTGGCTCTCTGTCTAGTAAGCATCCTGCAGGTCCTGAGAGCTGTCCTGCGACAGAACTTCTCCTCTCTGCTGGTGACTGTCATCCAACCCACAGCCCAGGGTGTGAGGGAACTGCAGCTGACATCTCTGGAGGATTCTGCCCTGCACCCCCTTGCTTCATGGCAGGTCTTATCCCTTGTTGTCAGTCTGCAGAACCTCCTGGTGCATGTCTATTTGCAGGTATATAAAATACTGCTTTGGAAACACACTAGTGCTGTCATGGTTCAAACACTTGTATTGACCTGAGATGATGCCACCCTGCAAGAGCACCCAAGAGTCTGCCTTTTTTTTTTTTTCTTCCCTCTCCCCATTTTTTCCGCCACTTAACGGGGATGGATGAGGAGGGGAAATGCTCTTTCTGCAGTGTATGCAGCACAGTGCAGTAAGAAGGCAAATCAAGCTATGTGGTTCTCCCTGCTGCTGAACTAGGCAGCTTAAATTCTGTGTGTAACCACAATCTGTTATCCCACCTCCTGTACTCCTCTGGGCCCCTACACCCTAGGGACAGAGGTGTCAAGCTCCTTCCCCACAACCCCAGCAAGCTGCTTTGGGGAATAGTTCATCAGTTCCCATTTAACTGCCTTGAGTGACAGTGGCTTCCTAGATTTTTTTGAAGACCGTTGCTTACTTTTATAGCCAGAATAAGTCCTGCTCTTATCTGACTCTTTGACATGATAGGTCATTTACAGCACATTGCATCTCATGAAGGAGATGAAGGGTGTTACTGTCCTGTGCTGCATGCTCTTCAGAATCTGCTATTTTCTGAATTTTATTCTTGCAATAGCTGTTGCCTGTGTTTTTGTTTTGTTTTGTTTGTACTCTGGGTATTCCAGAAAGACTTGCTGCTCTCTCAAGCTGTGGTTGCCTGTCTGGAAACCTTACTGGAGTACCTGTATGTGAAGAACCAGGATGTTGGTAAAGCCTTTCTTAGCCCTCCTTTTTCTTTAGGCTCTCTCCTATAGTAATTTTGAGCTCTTTGATCTCCGTCCTGTAGAGCCCTGGAGCAGATGCTTAATGAGTTATCCCCAATGTGAAAAATGATTTGTATGCCTACAGTTAATCATGTGCCCTGGGGACTCCCTTGAAGGAGTGAGCCCTCACTTTGGCTTGAGATACCAGTATGCTTTCCAGAACAAAGAGAAAGACTCTACCACCCTCCACTGTGATCTGTTAAGAGTGAAAGATTTAAGAAATGATAGGGAGGAAAACATTGCTTCTTACTTCCACATCCATCGTAGCAAGTCTTTATAAAGGCAGAGGACGGAAGACTTGCTTAGGCAGCCTGAGGGAAGGGAAGCTGGAAATTTTAGATTTCCAGGGGCAAATGCAGACCTTGGTTTCAAGTGTCTGTGTCAGACACATTAGCAGTATAACATCATATGACAGTGTCATACAGACAGGCTGAAAGAGTAGAGCCTCTCATTCACTGTCAGCCTCTTGCCACAAAGTTCAGGTGTTGGCTCTGATCTCAGCATGGAAAGAGAATTCTCTGTACTCTGACCTGTTCAAATCAGTCACGTAAACATTAGGAGAGAAGGGGATGGAGTGAATGAACACCAGACAAAAGGGACATTCTTGGGAGAGAGGAAGTTGCTGAATGAAAATGAAATACTGCAGGTGAATGACAGCCAGTAGCTGTAGGGAGCCTGTTAAAAGGCCTTGCTAAAAGAAAGAAAGAAAAAGAAAAAAAGTGGCAGTCTATGGGGAGGCTCCAGTGATTTAGGATGAAGCTGAAAAAAATGCATTTGGCAAGAGCTAAACCCTTCACTTTGACTGCCTAAATTCTTGCTGTGATGGAGAAGGTAACAACAGCAGTAAACAAAAGTCTTTTTTTATTCTGAGTGACACGAGGATCATAGCTTTATTTGCCCGAAAGAAATAACTGAATTGCAAAGAGTGCGGCCTGGCCTCTGCCAGTAGAAGCGTCCTCATTTGAGCCTCTTTAAAAGCCTTTGTTGGCCTAGAGATTTTTTCCACATATGCAGAGCAGGCTCAGCACACAGTGCTGGCACCTTCTCATTTCCACCAGGTTAAAAATACCTCTCAAACACTTTTACATGTTTGTTAGTGCTACTTTCCTTAGAGGAGATTGTCCTAAAGGCAACAGGGTGGTTATGTGTTTGCCAGCGCAATAGTGACCTTTCCAAAACAAAGGCCTCAAATCCAGTGGTGGGTTCCTGTGATATAACAAGTTCTCTCATACCAGTTCATCTGCTGTAATAGTCCATCACAAGTTCTTAACCTGCAGTAAATACAAGGTGATACAATTTAACTTAGTATGTAGTCAGAGATTTCATGCTGTCACACCCGGGGACCTTGAGCCTCAGTTCTTTATATTATCCATCCTTCTTACTACCTTTTCTCTACTGATTGCTGTGATCAGCCTGGCTGGTGCCCATGGCGAGCCCTCTAATGCAGATCCCCTCTCACATACAGGGCTTTCTTCCTTCCCCAAAGAATAGTTAGTCTGCAAAATTGAAACCCCTAGTCAGGAAACACATCCTCATATTGAAAACAGGGTAATTTTGTTTTGTTTTGTTTCTTTAACCCTGGGCTAAAGATAAACCTTTACTCTTTTACGATGCACATTCCAGAAGGTTACTCTTCCTCTTAATGCATAATATGGACAGAATATATTTTCTGCTTTAAAAAGCTATGAAGTTTTTGTCCTCATAGCTGAACTCTTGCTCTGATTGTGATAGATTTAAAGGCTAATAAGAGCATGGCAAAATACCTCATTGGTGTTTTACAGCTTGGGGTCTAGGAAAGAAAAACAGCGGTCAGTATGGAAGACTGTCTTTATCTGGGCCCAGTCTATCTCCTGGCAGGTTTTAAAGCTCTTTTTGATTGGCTTCTCCTTCTTTCCCAGCGCTACATGTTGCCTCACAGCCCTGGCACCGGTTCCTGCTCTTCACTCTACTCAGTGGGGGACGGAAGTCCTTTCTACAGCCAGAAATTCTCAGGCTCATGGCTTTGGTGAGCAGGGCAGGGATAGGCTGTTCCCCGCTTCAGCATGCTACTGTGGTGCATGTGGGCTCTAAGGGAGCACATCCTGTTCTTCTGGGGCTTGTAGCATTTTTTCCCGCCATCTAGCACGCCTGGGGAGGAGAGGGGAAGGTTACTGAGAATGGCCACCACTGTTGCCGAGCTGGGAGCATGCTGAGGTACTCTGAAGAACAGAGCTCTTCTTGGCACCACAGCTTCTGTCCCACTCTCTGACCTTACAGACCTGGCATTTCAGGTCAGGGAATTACCACAACCTACTGCCTAGCTGTGTATGGGGAGGCCCAGCAGCAAGAGAGGGATTGTGGTCCTGCCCAGCAGCTATAACCAAGATAAAGCTCTCGTGACAGTGGATAAAAGGAAGGGGTTATTTAAATGCACCTTCTCCTTCCAAATACATGACAGGTCTGTGAGCCTCTGTTACCACTATTTCACTTTTACATTTAGTTTAGTTCCTTCCTGACCTAAAACAAAGTAAGTTTAGGTGTAAGTCAGCACAATCTTAATATGGGCATTTGCCCCAGTTCTATTAGAAGTGGTGCCTGTGGTTTGGTTGCTGCAGACCTCTTCACAAAGAAGTGGTCTTTCCAGGAGATAAGTCACTTTTGGAATCTGTAAGCTATTCACTATTTATTGCCTATCTTTTGTCTTTTGTTCAAGTTTGTGAGATACCAGAACAACAATATTATTTCTCAAAGAGAAATAAGCCAGATTCTCCAGGAAGCAGCAGAAGCCGAGTTATCAGAGCTGCCTGAGGCCACATGTCGTGCTCTCCACCTCTTTCTTCGTCAGGTAAGAATGCAGTGGCTGTCTCAGAAAATAAGAACAAAGTTTCCTAGAGGATTGAATCTGCCTTTGTTGGGGAGCCATAAACTTCCTTTAAGGAGGTGATGGGGAATCCTGCAGCTGCTGGCTTGGCCTCCTGCCATGAGAGACGTATGGTGGAATGGGAAAGTGAGCAGCTGCCTAGATTGTGACATGAATGTTGTCATGGGCCCCTTGATTTTCCCCAGAGCAGTTTGAAGGTTTCATTGCGGTCTGTGGAAATGAGGGAGGGAGGTGTGAAGGAACAAACCCAATAGTTTGCTGATGGTTTGGAAATTATTCTTTCTTCTAATGGTTCAGATTCAGAGCACTTGTCAACAGATGGAGCCAGTGCAGGCAGGGACAGTCCAGACCTTGATGGAGAGCCTGGGACGGATGAGGATGCCTGCAAAATATCAGGACATTGTGTATCCTTTTGCTGGGCCAATGCCTTTGATATTTGATACTAGAGTAGTATGTGTAGCAGGTAGAAATTAACCTCATTTTCTGCTTCTCCAGTTCTTCTCCCTTTCCTTTCCCTTTCCCTGCTTCTCCCCACTTTCCAGCTCAAATTGAACAAAAATGTGAGCAAAACACTCTTAGTGCTTTCTGCAGCTCATTTGGGGATAAAAGGTTTACTGATGTTCTCTGTGCTGGGCTTGTATTCATCTATATGACAGGACTGGTTTAATGAAAGGGGCACAGGCCTGGGAGCTGCTGCCTTCAAAGCAGTAATGATTCCAATATTGATTTCCCTGGAGGATGAGCAATCACTTAACCTCGGTGTGTGCGCTAACTAGCATTGATATGTCTCTGCGGCTGTGCAAACCCAACGATGACTTGAACACTTTGGAAGCATGGGGAAGCAGTAAGCATTTGCATGGGGTTACCAGCTTTTATGCTGTTTGAGTGTCCTGCCCCTCTCCATGGACAGGAGGGATGTGCCATGCAGAGATTGCTTTTGGAGAAGGAGGGAGCCTGCTCTGGGTACCATGTGAACTAATTTGCTTATTTCTAAACCATCCTGCTCTTGCCTTACCTCAGCAGGGTGCTAGTCATGCACTGGCCCCGGCAATGGTTTCCTGAAGGGGTGGGGAGGTGGGGACTTTCCCTCTCCTACCGCTGATGTGCTCATCATAAGCCATGTGCTGAACTGGTGTGTGAGGTTTCTGTTACCTGCCAGAAATGCTTGTGTTCAGGCTTATCCACTGTGGGATACCACCACTCCACGAAGGGAAGCTCAGCGGTGTCTCAAAGGGGGAGTTCTCCACACTGAATTGTTCTTCCCAACCCCATGGAGTTCTTCTCCACTGCCTGTATGGGGGTGAAGGAGGGTGCACAGCAAGTCATGTTACACTGCTAACGTGGCTCCTTACTTTCCTGGCTTTTCCAGATTTGAAGCCTCCTTCAAATCTGATTTATTAGAAAGGGTTTTAGATGCACTCCAGGTGCATGCAGTTGGCCAGTGGTGGCTGGCTGAATAGGAGGGTCACAAGCACAGAAAACAAAATGCTGTGGTCAAAAGCAAGGTTTAAGATCAGCTTTGTCCAGAAAAGCAAAACAAAACAAACAAAAACCCCACCCAGCTTCAAACACACAAGTGTTACTGCATGCTTTTGTGGGGTTTGCATGGTCTTGGGGAGGGGAATTTTAGTGATGAGTATCTGCTTTCAGCAATGTGTCAAAAATGGGAATTCCAGTTGCATGCTGCAGTTTCAGCCGTGCCCTTCCTTTTGGTTTCCACTCATGGTGCCACCAACAGATGCCTGGGAAGCGTGGCAGTGTCCCTGTCACACATTGGAGACTGAAAGGAGGAGACGACACGGTCAGTAAACGCAGCAGAGGAACAAGAGAAGAATAAACAGGAAACCCCATACTGCCTGTTATTCCCAGTGACTTGAAGAGAGAAGACGGACAAAGAAAGTCAGTTGTAGCTCATTTGGAGAAAAATGGTTTGTTGAAAATGATACACGAAGGCTGGTTATTGATGTGACTGGTTATTGATGTGACTGCTCGTGACTGTCGCTGTGTGGGAAGAGGCGTTTCCTGTGAGGCTGCAGGGCTGTTGGGGGATGCCTGGGGAAGCAGCTGCCTGGCTTGTCCCGCTGAGGAGAGCAGAGCCCATGTCTCGCAGGGGAGCGGCGAGCGGAGCTTTCCTATTTCACGAGCACTCCTCTTGGATGCAGTTCCAGGCCCTTTTACTGCCTGTTCCCTCCCAAGCCTCTGAGAGTGTCTTTCCCACTGGGGCTTTTCACTGAAGAGCCTCCCCCAGCGCTTCCCTGGCGCCCTTTGTGGGGACCCAGTCCCTAGTTAGGAGGCAGCGAGCAGCCAGCCGGCACTCTCTGAACCTACCCCTTGGGGGCAGGATGCGACCTGCGACAAGAAAGCCGAGGGTTTCTTTCGCTTCCGCAGCCCCTGCGGCCAGCGAGGGCTCCGAGGA